TGTACAGTACAAATACAAACAAAATAATATAAAATGTAAGGTTTTGTACTTTACAAATTTGTATTTGTACTCCTTCCAAACTGAGCCTAACGTTTTTTGTTCACATGCAATTTAAATAAAGAACACATTTATATTTAACAACTCTAACTAAAAATTAAAAAAATAATATTTAAAAATAGTATTTTATAAACTAATAGAATAAATAATGTATCAAATTCACATTTATATAAAAAAGATGATTTTTAATATCAAGAAATTTATACAAATAGAATATTAATAATAGAATAATTATTTTAATACTTAAAATTTATAAAATTGCACAGGATTTAAGTCTTAAAATTTTTATATACTTTTATTAGTTATTAACTAATATTTTAATTTACATTAATAAGTAATAACAACATATTTATTATTTATAAAAAAATAAAAATATTATATACAAAATACTGAAGAACATAATATTAAGTTGAATCTATCAAATCCACTATTCTACATTTATTTCAAAAAATGATTTTTTATTTAGTAAAATTTATATAAATTAAAATATTAATAATGGAATAATTATTTTAGTAATTAAAAACTATGAATTTTTGTATGATATGCATCTTAGAAATTTTAACAAATTTGATATACTTTAAGTTAAGATTATATTTTTATAAATTATTAATTGATATTTTCATTTGCACTTGAAAATTTAATATTTAGTTGACTTTTTCTTTTTGTTAAAAAATTAAAATAGTAAAAGAAAAAATAATTGATATAATAATTAAAATATAATAGGTGCATATGTTTAGTGTCTTGGACTCTTGATTGATGCACTATAAATAAAGTTACACACCTCGGTTCATTAATCATAATATATTTCTTAATTTATATCCTTAATATTTACATTTTTTATGTATTTATATACTATTTTGTGATCGTTTTGATCTTAAATTTAGTGTTATTAATATACTTATGAAAATTTGTATGTATTTCCTTAGTGTATCCATGCGTTTCCATCTTTTTCGTCCGTATCAATGCGTTTCCAAAGCGTATCCGTATCCGAGTTGTCCGATACAATACCCGATACCGATACTTTAATCCTTGTATACACAGACACACATTATACATCTGCTTGGTTCCACCATCATACCTCCGGTAGGCAGGGTGTCACCTTATGTGACTGCCATGCCAAAAAAGGCTACTTCAAGGGGAGCTACAATTTTCCATTCTCCACCTCTTCATAGTGCAGCTTGTTGTAAAAAGATTTTACTGTGAAGTCTGTTGATTTTTCCCACACCCAAATCCTTTCGTCACTTCTTGCTGTGTCTGGCCTGATTGTGTTAATTCTTTACATCAACTTCATCCATTGCCCTAACTCCCAATTATTCAGGTTCCTTCTGAAAACAGGGCACCAAACACCTGCATCCCTTTCCTGTAAAAAAAGCCTCTGTACTACTAATCAAGCATTCCTTGTTCTTTGCAATCTCAAACAGTGTTGGGAACATCTTTCGTAGAGTTTGATTTCCATGCCAAGTGTCCTGCCAGAATTTTATATTTGTTCCATTTCATACTTCAAAGTTAACTCCCTTTAAATCTTCAAAGTTGACTCCCTTTTTTAGATCAATCTTCAAAGTTGTCTCCCTTCTTAATTTCCCTTGCTGATTTCTGGATACTATATGCTTGTAGCTGCATTTCAAGCTCATACTTTGCTCAGTTAATTTCCATGGTGGGTTGCAATCCTTCTAATGATTTAAATATGGGCATGTGACAGTATTACTGAAAAAAAAATATGGACATGCCACAACTAGCAAGTAATAGGGCCCAGATTATTTTAGTAGGCTTCAATTTATACTGCACTTCAGTTAATGAAATTGTTTAGATGTAGTTTTTTAGTCAGTTCATGTCATCATTATCATCCAATCCTTGTCCCAACTATATGGAGGTGGCTACATGAATTCTGTTTCGCCAATCCATTCTTTTTAAAGCCATATCCATTGTTAAATTATTAGTGCTTAAATCATTTCTTACTACTACCCATGTCCTTTTTGGTCTACCCCAAGTTCTTCTAGCCCTTCAATGTGTAATGAATCACTTCTAAGTTCTAACTAGTGCAGTTGGTGGTCTTCTATGCATGTGCCCAAACCCAAACCATTTTAGTCTATTCTCTCTCATTTTATTTTATTTTTTGATAAATTAATAGATTTTTTTGACCAGAGATTAAAGCAGTTACAAGCTCCCCTTGGGGGGCACAAGATGCAGCCACATCCTTGAGCCCAAAAAACTGAAAGTTGAACTGAAAAAATTAAGTATTACAACTCAGCCCCAAATAGTAACTCCCTAACAGCCCCTTGTTTAGCCAAGACATCAGCCATAGCATTGGCTGACCTGCTCACCCATTGTATTCTGATGGTCATATCCCTTGCTAGCCACTTGACTTTCCTTAATAAGTCCCCGTATTCCCAAATAGCAGAATCTGGACCTGTAACAACCCTACCACCACCTTAGAGCCTCCTTCAATACATAATCTGTTGACACCCAGTTGACTTGCAATCTGAATTCCTTGTACTGCAGCTAGTAGTTCAGCTCTAGTAGTCTCCTGATCCCACTGGGCCTGAGAAAAGAGAGAATAAGTTGCCAGCCTCAATTTTATGAACCCATCCACAGGTGGAAACCAATATGAAATACTTCTAGTGCTTCTTGTGGAGCTATTAGCCACTGCAAACCAGTTTCTCCATAGATCATCAAATGTATAAGAGTGGAATGAGATAAGGGTTCTCAACCAATGTATTGCCCTTGTTAATCATGGCCAGTCCACACCTTCCACCCTCAACCTAGTACTCAAAGGCCTTCTGCAAATTGACTTAAAATGTTCCACAAAGGTCTTGGCTATTTCATCCTAAGAGAATATTTTCTGCCCATTGATCTCTAATTTAGTCACCAAGTATAAACTTCTCTCATTTGCAATAGCATGAAAAAATTTGGTGTTCCCATCACCCTTCTTAATCCATTTGTATCTTGATTTTTGTCTCCAGGGTATTTCCTCTCTATAAAGAACCTCATCCAACTCTTTCAACTTCCATCTCAACTCCCTTTCTTGTTCATTAATGAGCCTTAAAGATTCTTTTTCATACAGAGCCTCAATATTGGAAAACAGGGAAAATTTTTGCTCCTCTATCTGCCCAAAATGGGTCCTATTCCACTTTTTAATTTTGGATTCGAGTCTTTTCAGTTTTTTTTATGAAATTAGACTCCTTTCCACATTATCACTATTAGCTCCTCATTCCACCATTCCTTAATCTTGTGAACAAAATCAGGATGAGCCAACCACATATTCTCAAATCTGAAGGGTCTGGGTCCACTAATTAGGGGTTTCGGACCTAACTTAATTGGGTAGTAGTTAGAGGTTACTTTGGGCAAGGCTCTAGCAACCAAATCCCTCCAAAGAGTCTTCCAACCTTCATTGAAAAGGAACCTATCAAACTTCGAACAGATTGGGTATTCTTGGAAGTTGTACCACGTGAAGTTGGCTTGCAGCAAGTGAATTTCCTTTAAATGGCAAGTATTGATGAATTCATTGAATTTTCTCATGCTGGTTGTTATAAACTGATTAGGGTTATTTGACTCGTTACAAAATCTGATCACATTAAAATCTCCTCCCAAACACTAGGGCCTTTCCCACAAACCTTGGATTCCAAATAGTTCTTCCCACATCTCATTCCTTTCTCTGTATCTATTTGGTTCATACACATTAGTTAGAATCCAAGTGAATCCATCCTCACAATTTTTCAACTTTAAGGCAGTGTTTTCAAAACCGGACTAGATCAGACGGTTGGACCGGAAAAAGGGAACCAATCACTTGATCGGTTTCGTTTCACTCCAAAACCTTTGGCCAAAAACTGTTGATTTGGTTAGTAAACTACTGACCTGGGCGGTTGAACCGTTGACTTGGACAACGATTTTAGGCCATTTTTTGTTTTTTGTTTTAATTTTGTAGAGAAGATGGGCCGAATGGCCCATAGGTTGCTTATTCCTTCTTGTTATTTATGTTTCTTTTCTGTAATGGGCCTTATTCTGGGTCCACCCTGTCAATATTAAGTTTTGTGTAAATTCTTGCCCAACTAAGGGCCTCCTTGTAATTATTCAAATATTTCTAATAAAACAGTGATAGGGGGCTGAGAGAGAGTGAGTTCGAAATCCTCTTCTCAGACCCTCATTGCYGAACCCTCAACTCTCTTCTCTTCAGTTTTTTTCAAATTTTATTATTTTTTGTTAAAGCGAGTCATCCATTCGGACTTGGACAACGATTGTATGCTGTCTTGCACCCCATTACGCTATATCAATACGATATGTTTTCGGCCGATACGTATTGATACTTTGAACCTTGGTTCAGGTTTTGAAGTCTTCAGGGGTGCAAGACAGCATACACCAACATGTTTGTTGATTGAACCCTGACAAATGAGAAAATAATAAAAGAAACTAGTATATAAATCCACAGAATGAATAACTTATTGTAATACTGGGTGCCTTGTCACCTAGGCATTGCCTTGACCAAGGATGAAAATATCAACACCCACAGAACCAAAAATTGGGTATCATGTGTGTGTCTGACTCAATTTGAGTGGAGAGTTTGGCACTATTATTGTCTTTTTAGTTGGACTCACCCTTTTTGTCACTGCATGGTCAACCCATAATAGGTTTTTGTGATGCAGTAAATCTCATATCTTCAGATGTCTAGGGTGAACCTCCAGGCCTCCTTGGGCTTATAGGTATAAATCCTAAGATCAAATCCCTCTTCTAATAGCTAGTCCATCAACTTGTTTCATTGAGAGAAAAAAAATGTTAATGAGCACATTTTTCCAATTCTAATAGTTATAAAGCTTGGTCTGTGTTGTTGGTACTTGTTATAGAGTCAAATATAGTATTCTGTGTTTCTTGAAGTACTTTGGTACATTAGCATCCCATTCTCTTTTTGTTTTCCTCTGTAGAGCAGCTAATTAAATTTGAGGTTTATGCAGGATGATGGAGGAGTGGGCAACAAAGAATCAGACAGACGAGGTACACATGATAGCACATCAAATAAAAGAATTGGTTAAATTCCTCAAGTCGGCTCAGGATAGATTTCCACCTTCATGTTCTTCTCTACAGGGGTTGTGTTTAGCATGTCTGGACAGATAATAAATAGCTCGTGCTCAGATCCTTGAAAATAACATTTTTCTCATTACCAGAAATCCCCACAAGAACATTTTCCATTCTTGAAATGGTGGAACCTGATGCGATCTCTAATAATGATCTCTCGCTGGTATATTTTTGAGATCAGTTTCATCACAGAGTGGCAATCCTCACAAGATCGCAAGTTTTTCACAATCCTAATTTTGGTTGTGGAGTTTGTCTTTATTAGCCCAAAAGCAACAGCAAGCTTTTCACTATGGTGGTGCAATTGAAAAGTTTTCTCCTCGTCCTCGATATCAAGCATGACTTCTGAAAGTTTTGGTTGGTAGCCTTGTCCTATCAGTCGCCTTGCTATGTCTTCCAACTTTGTATATATTTTTTTTGCTTCTTGATGACATGAGTCCCCTGCTACAAATTCATGGATGGTACCTTCCACTTCAATCTTACTAGACCCTGGTGGTTTTTCGAGTTTCTTCTGATTCATCAACTCTCTCACTTTTGCCTTTTCATGCCATTTTCCAGCTGAGGCAAACACATTTCCAAGGAGAACATAACTTCCACTGTCATTGGTTTTGACATTTTGAAGGTGGTTCATCAAACGCTCGCACCTATCAGTATCTCCATGAACTTTAGAGGCCCAAATCAGGGTTCGCCATAGCACTGCATCAGGTCTTATTGGCATCTTCTGGATAAATTCTTCTGCATCTTTCAGATGCCCAGTTCGAGCAAGAAGATCAGCCATGCATCCATAGTGTTGAATTGTGGGTCTTAATCCATATATCATCTCCATATTTTCCAAGTAGTAGTAGCCCTTGCCAACCCAACCTGCATTTCTGCAAGCAGATAAAACTGCAGTTATTGTTCGTTCATCTGGTCTCAGATTAAATTCTCTCATTTGATCAAACAGATCAATGGCATCTTTACACCGTCCATGGCTGGCGAGGCCAGAAATCATGGCTGTCCATGCGAAAATATCTTTGTTTATAATTGCTGCAAATACCTGTTGAGCACTATCTATACACCCGCATTTTGTGTACATGTCAATCAGAGCTGTAGAGACATTAGACTTTGAATCAAGTCCAATCTGTTTGGCAATCTGATGAACTTTCTGCCCGATACCCAGTGCTCCTGTGTCAGCGGAAGCTCTCAGAACAGACACTAAAGTTGCATCATTTGGTGTAATGCCATCACCTCGCATATGTTCAAACAACTTTAATGCTTTGATTGGTTGATCGTCGTCAACATGCCCATCAATGATTGAGGTCCAAGAGACAACATCTCGATCAGGCATTTTCTCGAATACATGTACTGCATAACTAAGCTCTCCACATGAGGAGTACATATGGATGAGAGAATTTTGTATGAACCGATCGGATTCAAGGCCTGCTTTGTAGATGAGTGCATGGAGTTGTTTTCCTTCATGGTTCCATTGTAGGCGTGCGCAGGATTTGAGGAGGAAGGGGTAGGTGAAGTTGTCCGGGTTTGGTGCATGCTCTTGCTGCCACGTTGAGAGGAAAAAGAGAAGTGCCTCGCTAGGCTCTGCGCTTGCTGCATAGCCTCTGATCATGGTGTTCCAGAAATATGAATTAGGGTGTTGGAGGGAATTAAAAATTTGACGGGCATAGGTGAGAGTTCCTGAATTCGATAGGGCAGAGAAGGTGAAGATTTTGCTCAGGGAGAGGGTGTTTTGGTCCTCTCCCCTCTTGATTAGTTGGGCGTGGAGTTGCATGGCATGGTTCATGGTTGTGATTTCCATATTGGGTTGGGGGGGGGGGGTCGGGGAGATCGAATGGACTAAGCTTTTAGCAGCTATATAGTTCGTATCAGAACTAATATTTTCGTTTATATATGTGCACCAAAGCAATAGCCAATAGCACCTTCGAAGCTTGTGGTCTGGCTTTAACCAAGTGTCATCCTTTAGGCTCAGTTTGGAAAGATACAATACATACAATTATATACATTTTAAAATACATACAAAATACAAGGCATGGTTTTCAAAACCGGACCGGAAAACTGGGAATCGGTCACCTGACTGGTTCCGTTTTCTCCAAAATCGTTGATTTTGGTCAGCAAACCGCTGAATCGGCCTGTTAACCATTCGAACTGTTTGAGCGGTTTTGATTTTTTTCAATTTTTAATTTTTTTTTTATTTTTTGTCAGAATGGGCTGACCGCTTGGGTCGAATGGTCGAACCGTTCTAACTGGTAACCGGACCCCTGACCGGTTTGGTTTTAAAAACTATGATACAAGGTTTTGCACTCAATATATTTGTATCTGTACTTTTTTCCAAACTGAGCGTTAGAACCTATCTCGTCTATAATAATTCAAAAAAAAAATGTTGACCGTAGGTTGTTCGTCACACAACTTGATGGCCATGTATTTATATACCCAATGTTTGTTTTTCAAACGACCACCAAAAAACCACCAATTTTTATCGATAAGGCCATAAGGGATCCATCTTAACCAACAAAATTCATGAGATTGATGTTAGGTCTGAATTAAATGAAATAGATGATGGGTGCTTTTCAGTTTTAACTTTCAAGTTTCATGGATATAACATTTCAATGTTTAGGTTAACACACAATTGGTGGCAAGATCAATGTGCTTTCTTGTTTCCTCTAAAGATCGTGTCATGACGAGTAACTTTGAATAAACTGATCAACAAAGAGAGATTCAATGATGTTAGTAGTTCTATGGCCCTTATGTATTGGTTAGCATGTGTTTGGGCCTTTGTCATTTAGAAACTATTTCTGGGTCATGCTGCAACCCTTAATTTTGTTACGAATTAAACAGAGTTAGCAGAAGAGAGGAATATGGTTTGTAAAACCTTCTAAAATGGGGTTCTTTGGAGGTATCCAAAAGGTTAGGGGTGTTTTAGATATTTAGTATAAAGAGAAATTTTAGGTGATTTCCCATAAATAATTCTTACCTTCTTCGCGTTAACCAATAATTAAAGGAAATGAAGAGCTACCTGTTAGTGATATTGGCACAACCGTACAAGCCAGCTTATGATATGAAGCACTGGTGGACAGGGACGCCATATTGGTGGTTAATCTAATCGCTCTCCATGATTGGTGTTGGTAAATTTAGCTCGACTCATCTTTATTCCCAACTATTTGAGTTAGATTGTAGTGATAAATTACACCGGTTTATTGGTTATCACTTATCAGTTTTTTAAACATCAACGTTTTGGCAAATCCGGTTGGTTCTGCTCCACTCTTTGTAAGTTTCAAAGAAATCGAAACCAAGCCTGGTCAATCACCATACCATTAGCCAGTTCACATCTGCGCCCCACAAGGGGGTGCCCCACAATATTCCACAGTGCATCCCCACCATGTATTGGGATCCAATGATGCCATCATCGAGAGATGTTCTCAATATAAGGCAGTGATGTGCTATGGGACGTTGTAGGGCACAGATCTGAACTCACCATTAGCAGGCCTGAGTTGGCATTTTGAATCTATGGTAATATTTTCGGACGTTCAAAAAAAAACCCGGTTGAACCAGACACAAAAGGACAAAAAACTTTAAACCCACTTCTTTCAAAGGAATTCATTCAAACTCCCTCCCATTTCCTTCTCTTCTCTGTGCTATAACCCAGAGAAGCATCCCACCGGCCATCTCACTACGCACCCACGTTGGTTAACATGAGATCGACCAGTTGTAAGCATAGAAAGGTGCTCTCTGATCTCCCCAACTACTCTCTAGTTCTCTTGTTTCAAACCCAACTCTGAGAAGCTCTGGTTCACTTATCTGCAATATATTGCCACTTGTGGACGAGCTTCATTGCTCCTATTGTCTTGGACGGATTGAAAATAATAATAACTAGTGGGATTGGAACCAATGTTTTAAAAAACAACCCGGAACCAAAACCATTATGGCCACTGGTTTCTGGGTTGATGGTTTGACCGCCCGGTTTGAAAGGATGGCCCATTCTGACAAGAAAATTAAAAAATGGTTAAAAACCGTTGAATAGGTCGCTGCCAGGTTAACTGGTCATTGACCAATTCAACAGTTTTTGTCCAGGGACTGGGTTAGGGGTAAAATGGAACCGGTTGGCTGAATGGTTATCGGGTCAAACGGTTCGACCGCCCGGGTCAATGGTGGTTCGAAAATCATGATTGAAAGTTTGGAACTAATCTCACTTTCCATCGTAGAATGATTCCAAAGCTTGCTGCACCTCCTCCTTTGATGTCCCATAATAGATCTTCTCCCATGGTTTCTCTATTGAGGATTTTGCCATTTGCATCAACCATTTGTGCATCAATGACTTGATCAGCGTGGCAAACCCCACATGAGAAGCCATGGACGTTACTCTTCTCTGCAATTCTGTAATAAAGTTCACCTAAGGTCGCACCAGCCTAAACCCATACATTGCTGCCTTCTTTGTCCACAGTGATGGTTTTCATATTGGACATGTCAACAATGGAAAATGGGACTTCAGCCCTATATGAGATGCCCTCATAGTCATGGCCTCCGCCTCATCTTCTGATCTCCAACCCATTCTCTTTTGCGCAGATAACAGCTGTTTGGGCGTGGGATTCGTTCAAAAGAGTAATGATAAACAGAAGTTTCAGTGTTAGACTATAGGAACCTGAGATTTTGTATAGTAGACGAGTATGGATTGATAAGAGGAGTTATTGGAGGAATAAACCACAACAGAGATTGGAGAGGAAGGATTAGAATGAAGGGAAAGGCATTAAAGAAAGCTCTCCTCCAATGAGGCTGAGGTTGCCCATGGAACCAACATAAGGATTGAAAGCAAGGAAAGTATTGCAGAAGTTGATGAATTCCCCATGAGCTTACCACTGGTGGATCCCACAGTCATGGATGCCGATGTGTAGTGAAATGGCCGATGGAATGCTTCTCTGGGTTAGTGCTTGAAGGAGAAGAGGAAATGGGAGGGAGTTGAAAGAAGTGGGTTTAAGGTTTTTTTGTCCTTTTGTGTCCAGTTCATAGGTTTCTTTTGAACGTCCGTTAATGTTACCACAGATTCGAAATGTCGATGTGGTCATTTCTGATTGTTGGGTTCACATTTTCCGTTGGAATCGAAATCAGAATGGCCTATTCCCTTTACCTATTAGATTCAAGCTGGAATTGGAATCAGAATCAAAATTGGGTGGAACGGATTTTCATTCTCAGGGGAGGAGGGAATGGCTCCATTATATTCCCCCATCTACCAGGAATGGGAATGAGAATCATCCAATCCTGTCTCACCAAATAGTTGAAATTGGAATAGACCCTATTCATGCAAAGAAGACAGACCCTAACCCTTTTATCTAGCTTGGATTTGGCTTTCAAAGAACACAAGCTGGAATTCAAATTTGGATTGTTTAGGCTCCATTTGTTTGCCATACAAAAGCCGAACCAGGGTATTTAGGTACCCTGGTGTAAAAAAGTAATGATTATTAGAGTAAAAATGTATTTTCTGCACTTTTATACTCTGAAAAGAGAGCATTACTGTACCTATTGTTTGGATACAATTTTGTGTTCTGTTGATAATTAACTTTTTGACCAAAGTTAACATAAAATAGTTGAAACATTTAATGATGGGCCCACAGTTTTGCACTGATTTCAACCAAACAAGATGAATGCAAAAATGATTTAAAATGTGAACCGTATTTATATTCATGAACCGAAAAATGGGTAAATATGTAGCTTACATATTTACGTTTGCATTGCAATCAAACACAACCTTAACTTTTTATTTTTGACACAAAATATGATATAGTACTAACGGCTAGAACAAGGATGCCAAAAGCTCACACCACAATTATCCTCCCTTAAAACATCAACAACATGAACTGGAGGTTGATAAAAAAACCTACATCACTATCCTGATTTATAGTGACAATAGCTAACTTGTGAGCACATATATTAGCTTCTAACAGACCTGCAAACCCAAATATAGAACCAGTAACCTGAGCTCCACAATTAAAATATATTTAACTTCACTATTTTCTTATAAACCAATTTTGATCCAATGTAAGTCCGTTCAAGCTCAGCTTTGGTTCATTATGGGCCCATTTGGCACGTCTTTCCGTATGGTTTTTTGGTTGTTTACAAGTTGGGAAGACCAAAAATTGGTTTATTTCCATTTGGTACGCGGAAGATCTAGCCGCCAAAAGACGGGATGCCAAAAAGACGCGCAAAGCCTATTTTGGGCTGATTTCAGGAAGGTCCAAATGAAGCTTCCCATGTCTTTTGCATTTTAATCTCGTGCGAAAAGACCCGAAATAACGCACGGAAAGACGCGCATCTGCCAAACGATCTTGGGGCTGCCCAGATCTTATGTCAAAAGCTCAATGCATCTTTTGACTGTCAGAACTACAAGAAGATCTTCTCAAAAAGACTTTCCAAACGGGCCCTATGTTTGTAAAACAATCTTAGGGGGATGTAAGGATCTTTAGTGCACTGTTGTATTCAAGTATGATAGTGGTCACCTGTGCATTTGGAACTTCTCTGTATTTGAAAATATTTATTCATGGGAAAATATTCCTAATATATGGCTGAAACATGTTGTGTGAGTCGTGCTTGATAAGAAACAGATCCAAACTCAACCCCTCAACCCATGTACAGGCGAGGATTTGATCCTAAGTCTCCAATACAATCAACAATAAACCTTACCAACCAATTAATTGGCTCTCTGTGAACTTATATTCTTTTCAAATTAAGCTTAAGACACCAAAATCTATAATCCATTAATTCATGCGGCATGAGGGGAATGCATTATTTCCGGATCTGTTTGCGGCTTCAAGCAATTCTACCAGATTACCACTATTATCTCCGAGATCGACTTGTTCACACTGTTCGCACTTCGCACAGTCTCTTGCAGCCTTGTATCGAATTCATATTAGATATTCCTAATACAAAGATATTCCGCAGCTTCCGCTATATGTCTGTTTCATTTTTGGCTTCAGAGCCTCCATGATCTACAATCTCTATATAACGGGACGGGGGTAGCTCCCGCACCAGCGGGATCAAGTCTCTGTTACGTGGCATTCTCCGATTGCCCTTACTCCCAAAAAGAAATATACTATCCGACGTGCCAAACCACTATTGTTGAGGGAGTTCCACACTCTCAGCCTCTCAGGTATGGTTGGTAGGACTTAGGAGTGATGTCAAAACCCTTGGCTGGCTGTTTCGAAGCTTCATGGCTATGACACGTTAGCACAGGTTTGGGTACAAAAGTAATTACAATCAATATTTTTTAATTAAAAAGACAAATAAAAGAACTAAGTGGGTTAACGGGGCATGTGCATTAGATTTCAAATGTTTTTTTTTTTTTTTATTTTTATTTTTCAAACAGGCAAGCTTTATTCTGACGGTACCGCGAGTACCGACTACCGACCAGCCCAGCCCCAAACGCGAACTGCCACTCACTCGGTGACCTGGTTATATTTTCATCTGTCTTTCGCTGTTTTTGTCGAATTGGATTACTTGGGTGATAGATCTTGCTCAATTTGCGCCTGACCATCTGAGTATGTCACTCATTCAGTTAGATTTTACTTCTGATCTAATCTCAATCTTGGAAGAGTTTTTGGTGTGATGATCTTTGTTCAATTTTAAGTTTTCAATGTTTGCTTTCAATTCTCCCTTTTTCTCTATATGGATCTGTTCGGAATGTTGATCTTCTGATGCTTTGCTTCCTCCAACTCAACACGTTTGTGCCTTTAATCACTATAATATTATTTTCACCTTTTGTGAGATTTTGTGATCCAGTTTTTCAAATCACTGCAAATTAATTACACTGTAATGCTGGCAGAGAACTCCAACATGATGGTTTTCTTTTTCTATTTATTTTCCCGGCCTTTCCTACCAGTTGATGCCAGTAGACTGATTTTGTTGGGTTTTACTAGTGTTCTACTGTTTGAGCAATTGTCTTGTGTTTATTTCTTTTTTAACAATATTTTAGTTTTATTTTCCAGTCAGGTTTGAGAGCAATGGTGAAGGATACTGAGTACTACGATATTCTGGGTGTGAGATATGATGCTACTCCAGCTGAGATCAAGAAGGCTTACTACCTTAAAGTAAGGTCTCTCCGTCAGTCACCAATTGTATACAACAGATTTGGTTCCCCGATTTTGACCCAGTTAAGGTTGCATGTTAAATTGCTATTTTTCATGTCAATAAACTGTGAAACTTTACTGCTGCTGGGTTGTAAATGTAGGAAGAACGATATCAATGATTATGCCATCTTTATTATCTGAATTTTTACTTAGCAAAAAAAATCATTATTATCTAATTTGTATGTTGCTTTTGTAGGCAAGGCTGGTACACCCAGATAAAAATCCTGGAGATCCCAATGCTGCCCACAATTTTCAGGTACTTTATTTGGTTTTATTTTCGGAAGAGTACGGACGGGCCCAATGCAGGATTCTGAATTCCACTGCAGAGCTATACACATTCAAAATGTCAAAAATCCCCACTCTATACACCAATACCCTCCCGTGAATTGGCATCAATTCCAAGCTGGCACCCACCCCAACTGTACTTTGGGCCTAAAAATTCTGACCCTGGGCTGAACCATCATTTTCCCTTTTATTTTTTGAGATATAAAAGATGTTTTATCATTGGAAATTGTGATTCTTTGTCATGATTGGTTAATAATGCTGACGAATGCACAATCCTTCTGATCAGTTAAAGGTATTTTTAGCTAAAGCCTAGAATAGCTCCAGAGCCCATTCTTTGTGGTTATTGTTTCAATAACATAGTTTTGGTATTGTGTCAACTAGCCACTGTGGTTGTCTTCACATGGTGGTAAACCTTCCATTGTATTGAGTTCCTTTGTACAATTCAAGAGCCATGGCCAAAATGGTTTTTTTTTTTTTTTNATGATACCAGCAAGCTTGGCATGATTGACATCTATGCTCAGCTTGAGGGGGAGTGTAGAGAAGATGGGCCGAATGGCCCATAGGTTGCTTATTCGTTCTTGTTATTTATGTTTATTTTCTGTAATGGGCCTTATTCTAGGTCTATCTTGTCAATATCAAGTTCTTTGTAAATTCTTGCCCAACTAAGGGCCTCCTTGTAATTATTCAAATATTTYTAWTAAAACAGTGWTAGGGGGCTGAGAGAGAGTGAGTTCGAAATCCTCTTCTCAGACCCTCATTGCTGAACCCTCAACTCTCTTCTCTTCAGTTTTTTTCAAATTTTATTATTTTTTGTTAAAGCGAGTCATCCATTCGGACTTGGACAACGATTGTATGCTGTCTTGCACCCCATTACGCTATATCAATACGATATGTTTTCGGCCGATACGTATTGATACTTTGAACCTTGGTTCAGGTTTTGAAGTCTTCAGGGGTGCAAGACAGCATACACCAACATGTTTGTTGATTGAACCCTGACAAATGAGAAAATAATAAAAGAAACTAGTATATAAATCCACAGAATGAATAACTTATTGTAATACTGGGTGCCTTGTCACCTAGGCATTGCCTTGACCAAGGATGAAAATATCAACACCCACAGAACCAAAAATTGGGTATCATGTGTGTGTCTGACTCAATTTGAGTGGAGAGTTTGGCACTATTATTGTCTTTTTAGTTGGACTCACCCTTTTTGTCACTGCATGGTCAACCCATAATAGGTTTTTGTGATGCAGTAAATCTCATATCTTCAGATGTCTAGGGTGAACCTCCAGGCCTCCTTGGGCTTATAGGTATAAATCCTAAGATCAAATCCCTCTTCTAATAGCTAGTCCATCAACTTGTTTCATTGAGAGAAAAAAAATGTTAATGAGCACATTTTTCCAATTCTAATAGTTATAAAGCTTGGTCTGTGTTGTTGGTACTTGTTATAGAGTCAAATATAGTATTCTGTGTTTCTTGAAGTACTTTGGTACATTAGCATCCCATTCTCTTTTTGTTTTCCTCTGTAGAGCAGCTAATTAAATTTGAGGTTTATGCAGGATGATGGAGGAGTGGGCAACAAAGAATCAGACAGACGAGGTACACATGATAGCACATCAAATAAAAGAATTGGTTAAATTCCTCAAGTCGGCTCAGGATAGATTTCCACCTTCATGTTCTTCTCTACAGGGGTTGTGTTTAGCATGTCTGGACAGATAATAAATAGCTCGTGCTCAGATCCTTGAAAATAACATTTTTCTCATTACCAGAAATCCCCACAAGAACATTTTCCATTCTTGAAATGGTGGAACCTGATGCGATCTCTAATAATGATCTCTCGCTGGTATATTTTTGAGATCAGTTTCATCACAGAGTGGCAATCCTCACAAGATCGCAAGTTTTTCACAATCCTAATTTTGGTTGTGGAGTTTGTCTTTATTAGCCCAAAAGCAACAGCAAGCTTTTCACTATGGTGGTGCAATTGAAAAGTTTTCTCCTCGTCCTCGATATCAAGCATGACTTCTGAAAGTTTTGGTTGGTAGCCTTGTCCTATCAGTCGCCTTGCTATGTCTTCCAACTTTGTATATATTTTTTTTGCTTCTTGATGACATGAGTCCCCTGCTACAAATTCATGGATGGTACCTTCCACTTCAATCTTACTAGACCCTGGTGGTTTTTCGAGTTTCTTCTGATTCATCAACTCTCTCACTTTTGCCTTTTCATGCCATTTTCCAGCTGAGGCAAACACATTTCCAAGGAGAACATAACTTCCACTGTCATTGGTTTTGACATTTTGAAGGTGGTTCATCAAACGCTCGCACCTATCAGTATCTCCATGAACTTTAGAGGCCCAAATCAGGGTTCGCCATAGCACTGCATCAGGTCTTATTGGCATCTTCTGGATAAATTCTTCTGCATCTTTCAGATGCCCAGTTCGAGCAAGAAGATCAGCCATGCATCCATAGTGTTGAATTGTGGGTCTTAATCCATATATCATCTCCATATTTTCCAAGTAGTAGTAGCCCTTGCCAACCCAACCTGCATTTCTGCAAGCAGATAAAACTGCAGTTATTGTTCGTTCATCTGGTCTCAGATTAAATTCTCTCATTTGATCAAACAGATCAATGGCATCTTTACACCGTCCATGGCTGGCGAGGCCAGAAATCATGGCTGTCCATGCGAAAATATCTTTGTTTATAATTGCTGCAAATACCTGTTGAGCACTATCTATACACCCGCATTTTGTGTACATGTCAATCAGAGCTGTAGAGACATTAGACTTTGAATCAAGTCCAATCTGTTTGGCAATCTGATGAACTTTCTGCCCGATACCCAGTGCTCCTGTGTCAGCGGAAGCTCTCAGAACAGACACTAAAGTTGCATCATTTGGTGTAATGCCATCACCTCGCATATGTTCAAACAACTTTAATGCTTTGATTGGTTGATCGTCGTCAACATGCCCATCAATGATTGAGGTCCAAGAGACAACATCTCGATCAGGCATTTTCTCGAATACATGTACTGCATAACTAAGCTCTCCACATGAGGAGTACATATGGATGAGAGAATTTTGTATGAACCGATCGGATTCAAGGCCTGCTTTGTAGATGAGTGCATGGAGTTGTTTTCCTTCATGGTTCCATTGTAGGCGTGCGCAGGATTTGAGGAGGAAGGGGTAGGTGAAGTTGTCCGGGTTTGGTGCATGCTCTTGCTGCCACGTTGAGAGGAAAAAGAGAAGTGCCTCGCTAGGCTCTGCGCTTGCTGCATAGCCTCTGATCATGGTGTTCCAGAAATATGAATTAGGGTGTTGGAGGGAATTAAAAATTTGACGGGCATAGGTGAGAGTTCCTGAATTCGATAGGGCAGAGAAGGTGAAGATTTTGCTCAGGGAGAGGGTGTTTTGGTCCTCTCCCCTCTTGATTAGTTGGGCGTGGAGTTGCATGGCATGGTTCATGGTTGTGATTTCCATATTGGGTTGGGGGGGGGGGGTCGGGGAGATCGAATGGACTAAGCTTTTAGCAGCTATATAGTTCGTATCAGAACTAATATTTTCGTTTATATATGTGCACCAAAGCAATAGCCAATAGCACCTTCGAAGCTTGTGGTCTGGCTTTAACCAAGTGTCATCCTTTAGGCTCAGTTTGGAAAGATACAATACATACAATTATATACATTTTAAAATACATACAAAATACAAGGCATGGTTTTCAAAACCGGACCGGAAAACTGGGAATCGGTCACCTGACTGGTTCCGTTTTCTCCAAAATCGTTGATTTTGGTCAGCAAACCGCTGAATCGGCCTGTTAACCATTCGAACTGTTTGAGCGGTTTTGATTTTTTTCAATTTTTAATTTTTTTTTTATTTTTTGTCAGAATGGGCTGACCGCTTGGGTCGAATGGTCGAACCGTTCTAACTGGTAACCGGACCCCTGACCGGTTTGGTTTTAAAAACTATGATACAAGGTTTTGCACTCAATATATTTGTATCTGTACTTTTTTCCAAACTGAGCGTTAGAACCTATCTCGTCTATAATAATTCAAAAAAAAAATGTTGACCGTAGGTTGTTCGTCACACAACTTGATGGCCATGTATTTATATACCCAATGTTTGTTTTTCAAACGACCACCAAAAAACCACCAATTTTTATCGATAAGGCCATAAGGGATCCATCTTAACCAACAAAATTCATGAGATTGATGTTAGGTCTGAATTAAATGAAATAGATGATGGGTGCTTTTCAGTTTTAACTTTCAAGTTTCATGGATATAACATTTCAATGTTTAGGTTAACACACAATTGGTGGCAAGATCAATGTGCTTTCTTGTTTCCTCTAAAGATCGTGTCATGACGAGTAACTTTGAATAAACTGATCAACAAAGAGAGATTCAATGATGTTAGTAGTTCTATGGCCCTTATGTATTGGTTAGCATGTGTTTGGGCCTTTGTCATTTAGAAACTATTTCTGGGTCATGCTGCAACCCTTAATTTTGTTACGAATTAAACAGAGTTAGCAGAAGAGAGGAATATGGTTTGTAAAACCTTCTAAAATGGGGTTCTTTGGAGGTATCCAAAAGGTTAGGGGTGTTTTAGATATTTAGTATAAAGAGAAATTTTAGGTGATTTCCCATAAATAATTCTTACCTTCTTCGCGTTAACCAATAATTAAAGGAAATGAAGAGCTACCTGTTAGTGATATTGGCACAACCGTACAAGCCAGCTTATGATATGAAGCACTGGTGGACAGGGACGCCATATTGGTGGTTAATCTAATCGCTCTCCATGATTGGTGTTGGTAAATTTAGCTCGACTCATCTTTATTCCCAACTATTTGAGTTAGATTGTAGTGATAAATTACACCGGTTTATTGGTTATCACTTATCAGTTTTTTAAACATCAACGTTTTGGCAAATCCGGTTGGTTCTGCTCCACTCTTTGTAAGTTTCAAAGAAATCGAAACCAAGCCTGGTCAATCACCATACCATTAGCCAGTTCACATCTGCGCCCCACAAGGGGGTGCCCCACAATATTCCACAGTGCATCCCCACCATGTATTGGGATCCAATGATGCCATCATCGAGAGATGTTCTCAATATAAGGCAGTGATGTGCTATGGGACGTTGTAGGGCACAGATCTGAACTCACCATTAGCAGGCCTGAGTTGGCATTTTGAATCTATGGTAATATTTTCGGACGTTCAAAAAAAAACCCGGTTGAACCAGACACAAAAGGACAAAAAACTTTAAACCCACTTCTTTCAAAGGAATTCATTCAAACTCCCTCCCATTTCCTTCTCTTCTCTGTGCTATAACCCAGAGAAGCATCCCACCGGCCATCTCACTACGCACCCACGTTGGTTAACATGAGATCGACCAGTTGTAAGCATAGAAAGGTGCTCTCTGATCTCCCCAACTACTCTCTAGTTCTCTTGTTTCAAACCCAACTCTGAGAAGCTCTGGTTCACTTATCTGCAATATATTGCCACTTGTGGACGAGCTTCATTGCTCCTATTGTCTTGGACGGATTGAAAATAATAATAACTAGTGGGATTGGAACCAATGTTTTAAAAAACAACCCGGAACCAAAACCATTATGGCCACTGGTTTCTGGGTTGATGGTTTGACCGCCCGGTTTGAAAGGATGGCCCATTCTGACAAGAAAATTAAAAAATGGTTAAAAACCGTTGAATAGGTCGCTGCCAGGTTAACTGGTCATTGACCAATTCAACAGTTTTTGTCCAGGGACTGGGTTAGGGGTAAAATGGAACCGGTTGGCTGAATGGTTATCGGGTCAAACGGTTCGACCGCCCGGGTCAATGGTGGTTCGAAAATCATGATTGAAAGTTTGGAACTAATCTCACTTTCCATCGTAGAATGATTCCAAAGCTTGCTGCACCTCCTCCTTTGATGTCCCATAATAGATCTTCTCCCATGGTTTCTCTATTGAGGATTTTGCCATTTGCATCAACCATTTGTGCATCAATGACTTGATCAGCGTGGCAAACCCCACATGAGAAGCCATGGACGTTACTCTTCTCTGCAATTCTGTAATAAAGTTCACCTAAGGTCGCACCAGCCTAAACCCATACATTGCTGCCTTCTTTGTCCACAGTGATGGTTTTCATATTGGACATGTCAACAATGGAAAATGGGACTTCAGCCCTATATGAGATGCCCTCATAGTCATGGCCTCCGCCTCATCTTCTGATCTCCAACCCATTCTCTTTTGCGCAGATAACAGCTGTTTGGGCGTGGGATTCGTTCAAAAGAGTAATGATAAACAGAAGTTTCAGTGTTAGACTATAGGAACCTGAGATTTTGTATAGTAGACGAGTATGGATTGATAAGAGGAGTTATTGGAGGAATAAACCACAACAGAGATTGGAGAGGAAGGATTAGAATGAAGGGAAAGGCATTAAAGAAAGCTCTCCTCCAATGAGGCTGAGGTTGCCCATGGAACCAACATAAGGATTGAAAGCAAGGAAAGTATTGCAGAAGTTGATGAATTCCCCATGAGCTTACCACTGGTGGATCCCACAGTCATGGATGCCGATGTGTAGTGAAATGGCCGATGGAATGCTTCTCTGGGTTAGTGCTTGAAGGAGAAGAGGAAATGGGAGGGAGTTGAAAGAAGTGGGTTTAAGGTTTTTTTGTCCTTTTGTGTCCAGTTCATAGGTTTCTTTTGAACGTCCGTTAATGTTACCACAGATTCGAAATGTCGATGTGGTCATTTCTGATTGTTGGGTTCACATTTTCCGTTGGAATCGAAATCAGAATGGCCTATTCCCTTTACCTATTAGATTCAAGCTGGAATTGGAATCAGAATCAAAATTGGGTGGAACGGATTTTCATTCTCAGGGGAGGAGGGAATGGCTCCATTATATTCCCCCATCTACCAGGAATGGGAATGAGAATCATCCAATCCTGTCTCACCAAATAGTTGAAATTGGAATAGACCCTATTCATGCAAAGAAGACAGACCCTAACCCTTTTATCTAGCTTGGATTTGGCTTTCAAAGAACACAAGCTGGAATTCAAATTTGGATTGTTTAGGCTCCATTTGTTTGCCATACAAAAGCCGAACCAGGGTATTTAGGTACCCTGGTGTAAAAAAGTAATGATTATTAGAGTAAAAATGTATTTTCTGCACTTTTATACTCTGAAAAGAGAGCATTACTGTACCTATTGTTTGGATACAATTTTGTGTTCTGTTGATAATTAACTTTTTGACCAAAGTTAACATAAAATAGTTGAAACATTTAATGATGGGCCCACAGTTTTGCACTGATTTCAACCAAACAAGATGAATGCAAAAATGATTTAAAATGTGAACCGTATTTATATTCATGAACCGAAAAATGGGTAAATATGTAGCTTACATATTTACGTTTGCATTGCAATCAAACACAACCTTAACTTTTTATTTTTGACACAAAATATGATATAGTACTAACGGCTAGAACAAGGATGCCAAAAGCTCACACCACAATTATCCTCCCTTAAAACATCAACAACATGAACTGGAGGTTGATAAAAAAACCTACATCACTATCCTGATTTATAGTGACAATAGCTAACTTGTGAGCACATATATTAGCTTCTAACAGACCTGCAAACCCAAATATAGAACCAGTAACCTGAGCTCCACAATTAAAATATATTTAACTTCACTATTTTCTTATAAACCAATTTTGATCCAATGTAAGTCCGTTCAAGCTCAGCTTTGGTTCATTATGGGCCCATTTGGCACGTCTTTCCGTATGGTTTTTTGGTTGTTTACAAGTTGGGAAGACCAAAAATTGGTTTATTTCCATTTGGTACGCGGAAGATCTAGCCGCCAAAAGACGGGATGCCAAAAAGACGCGCAAAGCCTATTTTGGGCTGATTTCAGGAAGGTCCAAATGAAGCTTCCCATGTCTTTTGCATTTTAATCTCGTGCGAAAAGACCCGAAATAACGCACGGAAAGACGCGCATCTGCCAAACGATCTTGGGGCTGCCCAGATCTTATGTCAAAAGCTCAATGCATCTTTTGACTGTCAGAACTACAAGAAGATCTTCTCAAAAAGACTTTCCAAACGGGCCCTATGTTTGTAAAACAATCTTAGGGGGATGTAAGGATCTTTAGTGCACTGTTGTATTCAAGTATGATAGTGGTCACCTGTGCATTTGGAACTTCTCTGTATTTGAAAATATTTATTCATGGGAAAATATTCCTAATATATGGCTGAAACATGTTGTGTGAGTCGTGCTTGATAAGAAACAGATCCAAACTCAACCCCTCAACCCATGTACAGGCGAGGATTTGATCCTAAGTCTCCAATACAATCAACAATAAACCTTACCAACCAATTAATTGGCTCTCTGTGAACTTATATTCTTTTCAAATTAAGCTTAAGACACCAAAATCTATAATCCATTAATTCATGCGGCATGAGGGGAATGCATTATTTCCGGATCTGTTTGCGGCTTCAAGCAATTCTACCAGATTACCACTATTATCTCCGAGATCGACTTGTTCACACTGTTCGCACTTCGCACAGTCTCTTGCAGCCTTGTATCGAATTCATATTAGATATTCCTAATACAAAGATATTCCGCAGCTTCCGCTATATGTCTGTTTCATTTTTGGCTTCAGAGCCTCCATGATCTACAATCTCTATATAACGGGACGGGGGTAGCTCCCGCACCAGCGGGATCAAGTCTCTGTTACGTGGCATTCTCCGATTGCCCTTACTCCCAAAAAGAAATATACTATCCGACGTGCCAAACCACTATTGTTGAGGGAGTTCCACACTCTCAGCCTCTCAGGTATGGTTGGTAGGACTTAGGAGTGATGTCAAAACCCTTGGCTGGCTGTTTCGAAGCTTCATGGCTATGACACGTTAGCACAGGTTTGGGTACAAAAGTAATTACAATCAATATTTTTTAATTAAAAAGACAAATAAAAGAACTAAGTGGGTTAACGGGGCATGTGCATTAGATTTCAAATGTTTTTTTTTTTTTTTATTTTTATTTTTCAAACAGGCAAGCTTTATTCTGACGGTACCGCGAGTACCGACTACCGACCAGCCCAGCCCCAAACGCGAACTGCCACTCACTCGGTGACCTGGTTATATTTTCATCTGTCTTTCGCTGTTTTTGTCGAATTGGATTACTTGGGTGATAGATCTTGCTCAATTTGCGCCTGACCATCTGAGTATGTCACTCATTCAGTTAGATTTTACTTCTGATCTAATCTCAATCTTGGAAGAGTTTTTGGTGTGATGATCTTTGTTCAATTTTAAGTTTTCAATGTTTGCTTTCAATTCTCCCTTTTTCTCTATATGGATCTGTTCGGAATGTTGATCTTCTGATGCTTTGCTTCCTCCAACTCAACACGTTTGTGCCTTTAATCACTATAATATTATTTTCACCTTTTGTGAGATTTTGTGATCCAGTTTTTCAAATCACTGCAAATTAATTACACTGTAATGCTGGCAGAGAACTCCAACATGATGGTTTTCTTTTTCTATTTATTTTCCCGGCCTTTCCTACCAGTTGATGCCAGTAGACTGATTTTGTTGGGTTTTACTAGTGTTCTACTGTTTGAGCAATTGTCTTGTGTTTATTTCTTTTTTAACAATATTTTAGTTTTATTTTCCAGTCAGGTTTGAGAGCAATGGTGAAGGATACTGAGTACTACGATATTCTGGGTGTGAGATATGATGCTACTCCAGCTGAGATCAAGAAGGCTTACTACCTTAAAGTAAGGTCTCTCCGTCAGTCACCAATTGTATACAACAGATTTGGTTCCCCGATTTTGACCCAGTTAAGGTTGCATGTTAAATTGCTATTTTTCATGTCAATAAACTGTGAAACTTTACTGCTGCTGGGTTGTAAATGTAGGAAGAACGATATCAATGATTATGCCATCTTTATTATCTGAATTTTTACTTAGCAAAAAAAATCATTATTATCTAATTTGTATGTTGCTTTTGTAGGCAAGGCTGGTACACCCAGATAAAAATCCTGGAGATCCCAATGCTGCCCACAATTTTCAGGTACTTTATTTGGTTTTATTTTCGGAAGAGTACGGACGGGCCCAATGCAGGATTCTGAATTCCACTGCAGAGCTATACACATTCAAAATGTCAAAAATCCCCACTCTATACACCAATACCCTCCCGTGAATTGGCATCAATTCCAAGCTGGCACCCACCCCAACTGTACTTTGGGCCTAAAAATTCTGACCCTGGGCTGAACCATCATTTTCCCTTTTATTTTTTGAGATATAAAAGATGTTTTATCATTGGAAATTGTGATTCTTTGTCATGATTGGTTAATAATGCTGACGAATGCACAATCCTTCTGATCAGTTAAAGGTATTTTTAGCTAAAGCCTAGAATAGCTCCAGAGCCCATTCTTTGTGGTTATTGTTTCAATAACATAGTTTTGGTATTGTGTCAACTAGCCACTGTGGTTGTCTTCACATGGTGGTAAACCTTCCATTGTATTGAGTTCCTTTGTACAATTCAAGAGCCATGGCCAAAATGGTTTTTTTTTTTTTTTTCTGGTTATCTACTGGCTTTCTACATAATTGTTCATTCAGTCATGTTTTATGTGCCAAGGTACTTGGGGAGGCTTATCAAGTTCTTAGTGACCCAGAAAAACGTGAAGAATATGACCAGAATGGAAAGGAAGGGGTATCTCAGTAAGTTTCATAGAAATCAAAATGCAGTTGCACAGGCAACTACTGCATATACCCATTCTTGTACAAAAAGTTGTTTTTTCCTTTTTTTCCATTTTTATCCATCCGATGATACTAGGGGAGAAAAGAAATTAGTATTTACTAAATCATTTCCCAACTCAGGGATTCTATGGTAGATCCTTCTGTAGTATTTGGGATGGTTTTTGGGAGTGATTTCTTTGAAGAGTATGTTGGCCAACTAGCCTTGGCTTCCTTGGCATCTGTGGAGCTTGAAGAAGACTCACAAGTTCCAGAAGCTCGGACGCAAAGAGTTCTGGACAAGATGAAGGTATCTGTGATTATTTATTACTAGTTCTGAAATGTGCCAACTGTTCTATGCACTCCATTAATCTATAATCTTTAAAAAATGCAGGAGTTGCAGAAAGAAAGGGAAGCAAGACTTGTACAAATTTTGAAAGACCGCCTTCAACCATATGTTGAGGATCGAAAGGATGAGTTTGTAGATTTGGCAAAGTCAGAAGCTCATCGTCTCTCACAAGCTGGTAAATGCATTTTGTTCTTATCCTTTTTGTGATAACATTTTCTTAATAAATTTTAGTAGTGAGAAAAGTGAAGAACTTTACATGGCTAAAGGATCAGTTACATTAGCCATCTTCCTAAAAGAATCTCAGACAGATCTTTTACCAATTCCAGTAAAATTTTTAAAATAGAAACAAGTTGTTACCAATGCTTTAAAAGGTGTTGGAGGTGTACTTCTAGAAGTGTGCCCTCAAAACACCCTAAGGTGCATGCAGGAAGCGTTTATAGTTATAAGGTATTAAGGTGTATGCCTCAAACACCTTTTGCATGAGGTGTTCTAGAGGCATACACCTTATGTGCCTTATGCACGCCTTGCATAAAAAGAAAAGGAAAGAGAAGGGAAGGGAAATCTGAGCCCCTGGACCCCCTTGTCTGGGGGGCAAACCCTCCCCTCCCCCCAATGCCTTTCTGATATATCCCAATTTGGTTTTTCTTTTTTCTTTTTTTGGTGCCATGGGGTCCTGCATGCATCCTCAATTCTTTTTAATACAAAACATCTTTGATCAAAAAGAAACAAGAAAAACAAGAACTTCTCTCCCCCTCATTCTTTTTGATACAAAACTTCTCCTCTTCCTCCTCCTCTCTTCCCCCTCCTCTTGAGGAGTCTTATGCCTCTTGCGTTCTGATCTATGCCTTAGTGGAATGCCTCATGTCATGCTTATGTGCTTTAAAACATTGGTTGTTACAAACTTGACACTTTGACAGTCCATCATAATCAAGTTAATTCAGTCACATTCCAGTAAAAAGTTTGATGTGATCATTTTGGAATGCTTGAAGTCTTCTCCTCTTCTATATTTGTTGTTAAGAGTCCTTATGGTCAATCAAATACTGAAAGCCAATTTAAGATTCTTTTATACTTAATATCAAATGAGTTTACACTAGAAAAAATTAATCATCAACATCTTTCTGTGTCATCCTTTATAATGAAGAGCTCCAGGGGTGGGGTTTTCCTACAATTTCCCCCTCCCCCTTCTCCCATTGTAACTTTGCAATTTCTGTTAACTCATATTTGTTGTAAAATTTCAGCTTTTGGTGAGGCTATGCTGCACACTATTGGTTATATCTACACAAGGCAAGCTGCAAGAGAAATTGGTAAGAACATACGGTTTATGGGTGTGCCATTCTTGGCAGAGTGGGTCCGAGACAAGGGTCACCATATAAAATCGCAAGTGGTGGCAGCTTCAGGTGTGCTTTCTTTTCTTCCCCATTTCTTTCTTGGATCAATCTTGAGGTGTGCTTTCATTGGCAACTCAGGGGCTTCTTTGGAAGAGAAATTCATTATATGTCTCTCAACTTTAATCCAAGTTTCTATATGAAAGCATTGAATTTGTTTTTCTCCCAAATGTGTAGGTGCTGTCTCTTTAATTCAAATACAGGAAGGGTTTTTGAAGGTGGAACAAGGTGAGAACAAAGAAGAGAACCTGATGAAGCACATTGAAGATAATAAAGAAGCCATGGTTAATTCCCTTTGGAAGATAAACGTTTTGGACATTGAATTGACCCTCTCACATGTCTGCCAAGCGGTGAGCTTTATTTCATTATTATTTATCATTTAGTTTTGCTTGGATTTGAAAGCCAATCAGTACAATCATATGACATAATGCATCTCCATGCTGGTTCAGTGACAACCATTTTGAGGATGTGGAATCCCAACTTTGGGTACAAAATTAATTTGTACACAAGAATGGACCACGAAGTATAAGTCCGAATTCTCATAATAGTTTCTTAATAATCCATCACATCAATAAGGTACCTACATTTGGTGAGCCACAACTTGACCAGCCAGTATTTACTCAACTTAGAGTCATGCCATCAATGGCATTCAGTGGACTGTGGGAGTGAGGTCTGTACTATCTATCTTCAAGCCTACCAGTATTACCATCAACTTAAGGATGTATAATTCAGAACAGAAGCCCTAAGTCATTCTTTGTGTACAACAATTTGACATATGCATGAAACTAAGTTGATTTATTGCGTGGTTCTGACAATGTTGATTAATTTGGTTATTCTAGCAGATTTTTCAAGTTGTATTCCAGTGTGCAAGTGCTAACTCATTGTTCTACTTCAGGTTCTCAAAGATCCTAATGTTTCCAAGGATGTGCTTAAGCTACGAGCCAAAGCATTGAAAAAGCTTGGAACCATTTTCCAAGTAAGAGATGGATTTATTTTCTTTATGTGCATGTTTAGTTATCATGCTTGGTTCTTCTAAATGTTTTTCCAATCAATAATTGTGTCTTGATTATTTACCTTACCTGGAAAAGGAAAGAAAAACCTTAAATTTAAGATTGATTTTCTCAAAATTCTTGCGATGACTTATGTTGGAAAAGAGATCCTAACTCATGTAATCACGTCATTGGCTATTTGGCTGGTGAAAGTTTCAAAAACAAAAGAAATTACAAGACAAAGGATAAAGAGTTCCACTCATCTGTTCTTATTTTTTTCCCAAACTTCTCAAGAAAAAAAAGGAAAAGGTAAAAAGTAGTTCTTTAGACAAAGGCATGCCAAGCTCATTTCAAGCAAGAGATTTTTTCATTAAGAAAGGCTGAAAGTTGGAAGGATAGGAAGGTTGGGACTGACCAAACATAGAAATCAGCTTAAAGCTCATTTATATAAAACCTTTTCTTTATACATGTTAATATCTTATTAATTCTCAGGGAATTTTGATTGGATACATGATTGTGATAGCTTGACCTCACCTGATGTAAAGTTGGAAGGATAGGAAAGTTTGCAACTGACCAAGGGTTGAACTAGCCAAGGCCAGCTTGAAACTTAGAGTCTGAAAGATGGTGCTTAAGCTAAATACAAAGAGGGGAGTAATGGATTTACTTGTTAACCATCATCTTTGAAGTGGTTGCTATTGCTCCTCAATGGACTAGCTCTTCTCTTCCTTCCCTCCTCAAATTGGCATGGTAAATAGCCCTTTGAACAGAGCATGTAAAACTCAGAAAGTTCCATGTTGGATTAACTTCTTTCTGAAAAAAATGCATCCAAGATATCCAGGTGACACTAAAAGTGTTTTGGCCATTTAAGCAAGATGTTGAAGTGGACTACAAGCAATATATATATATATATATATATATATATGCTAAAATATCTTTACTCCCCACAACTGTCACTAAACACCCAAAAAAGAACAATTACAACTGAGCCCAAAAACAGAACTCCTATTCACCCCTTGTCTAGCTAAGCCATCTGAAAAAGAATTCACACTTTTCTTTACCCATGTGCATCGAACTTCCATGTCTTTGGTCAGCCATTTAAATTTCCACTTTTCATTGCTGTAGTTCTAGAGCCTTGAGTTGTCTTCTTTTAACCAGCTCACTACAGTCTCAGAGTCGCCTTCTATGATCAGCTTGTTTATGTGCAGATCTTTGGCTCTTTGAACCCCTTCCAAAGCTGCTAAAATCTCAGCCCTCAATGAGTCTCCCACTCCAATTGGGTCAGAAAACATGGCTATGGCATTTCCTTTTTCATCCCTCATGACTCCCCCTATTCTAGAAGGCCCTGGATTACCCATACTGCTGCCATCAAAGTTCAGTTTGATGAAGCCAAGAGGTGGGGGGTTCCAGTAGGAAATTAAGGCCTTCTTGACTAAGGCTAAATTTGCAATTTACTTCCAATTTCTGATTAGATCATATACTGAAAATTCTGCAAATAGATCCAAGGTTTTCAGCCAATGAATTACCCTTATATGAATCACTTCTACCATTGCTTCCGCACTTCTCTCTTTTTCTGAGAAAATCCTTGAGTTTCTTTCTTCCCAAATAGACCAACACACTACAACCCTAACACATCTCCACATAATCTTTGCCCTTTTTGTTGGCCAGTTGGGGGGAGAGGAAGTAAACAAGCCTTGCACATTCATTAGAGAGTTCCACCTGCACCCAAACAGAGAAGTAAACCATTCCCAAATAAAGTTTGCAAATTGATAGGAAATTATTAAATAATACCCAAACTCACCAGCAACTTTGCAGTGGACACACCATTGAGGAGACAAACATCTATTGGGCCTTTATCTTTGAAGCAAATCTCCTGTGTTAACTCTTTCCAGAAAGGCCTCCCAACAAAAATTTCCCACCTTCAGAGGAATAGGTTGACACCACACCTCTTTAACAGGGAAAGACAAACCAATAGGAAGAGTCGGCTGTATTAGGGCTTTAAAGAAGGAAGCACAAGTAAACGAACTAGAGGGAGAGAGGGTCCAAATTCTGCTGTCTACCTTTGTTGGCTCTAAGAAAACCCCATCATGGATGGATAATAAGGATAAGGTACTGTCCAATTCTGTGTCCCTGATGTCTCTTCTCAGTTCTAAATTCCAACCAAACCCAGAGGTCAAGCTAGGTGGTACAAGGAAAGTAGATATCGGTTCATTTTTAAAGGTAGAGATAGAAAAAAGAGTCGGAAATTGGTCTTTTAAAGGATAATCCCCAACCCATACTTGTTCCAAAAATTTAATGAGGTGGCCTGAGTGCAAGTTATACTTGATCCAGGGAGGAAACAGAGGTAAAATAGCTTGGATTGCTTTCCAGGAGATGCCCTTGTAGTCCTTGTTAGAATACCAGAGTCCCATCCATTCTTTGCAAGCCAATGAATACTGAAGAAAACTGAAGAGAGGAGAGCTTGAGAGTTCAGCAATGAGGGTCT